TGTGTGGGGGGGGGGTCCATCCTCTTAGCAATATTTTCATATATGTAGTTGTAGATTACCACTGATGCATCTTATATATATGACCAGCATCATATATAGAAGTACTTAACAAGCTGTATACCTAATCTCTTAATTAAATGTGTAGTTTATCCAGTGTTTGAAAAAGACATAATTTACAAAATCAGGTAACAGTGTTAGAAGCAGTACCTGCCCATGCAAACTTTCTTTACAATTTAGTTCTGATATTAAATAAACGTGCTTATAAGTACCTAAGTGTAGAAGAAAGACCTTGTAGAGGTAATTGGCGCAGATATTCGCCCAGCTCCGCTCTCTCTTACTCGCGTATCTATATATCGACTGATTGATTTTCCTCTCGTGGGGAAGCGAGGTATTAGCAGATTATTCCAAGAATACTTAATTAGTAAATCATTTCATATGTTCATCACCACCTGCTCTCTTTGTGTGTGTATGTAAGGGTGTATGTTTGTATGTCTCAGAGCCAAGGTTCTCTACACACTCACTCGTCTGATAACTTTTGTTTGGAGGGTTGGACTGAAAGGTCATTTGATAAAATGATAAAGATGTGTTAGACGAGAGCGCTATAAAGCCATCCTATTAAGCAGATGTATGGAACATACTGGTCTTGTATCTAAACAACTCGAACATTTATTATATATTATCATTACTACTTTTATTGTTATTGCTATTGTTATTATCATTATCATTATCATTATCAATATTATTATTATTATTATTATTATCATTATTATTATTATTATTGTTATTGTTATTATTATTAATACTATTATTATTATTATCATTGCTATTAGTATTGTTGTTGTTGTTCTGTTATTGTTGTTATCGTTGTCATTATAATTGTTATGATCATCAAAATTTGAGTATTTTTATGAATTGATGCAATAATAATCGTAATTTTCGTGATGGACAATACTAAAGCATTTTGTTCAGTAGTCGCGCTTATGCTGTATGACTAGAAGACTTCATTCTAAGGCACACTGGCCTAGTCTTTCGTAACTGATTGTCATTAGAAAAATAAGTATATGGAATGAGCACCAAAGCCACACACACACGCACGCACACACACACACACACACACACATATTGTAACAGAGAGAGAGAGAGAGAGAGAGGGGGATTGAAAAAAGAGAGAGGGAGGGAGAGGGGTGTAGAGAGGGAGAGGGATAGAGAGAGAGAGAGAGATAGAAAGAGGGAGAGGGATAGAGAGAGTGAGGGAGAGGGGTAGAGAGAGGGAGGGGGATAGAGAGAGGGAGAGGGAGAAGGCTAGAGAGAGAGAGAAAGGGAGAGGGAGAGGAAGAGGGATAGAGAGAGGGAGAGGGAGAGGGATAGAGAGAGGGAGAGGGAGAGGGATAGAGAGAGGGAGAGGGATAGAGGGAGGGAGAGGGAGAGGGATAGAGAAAGGGAGAGGGTGAGAGATAGAGGGAGGGAGAGGGAGAGGGATAGAGAGAGGGAGAGTGATAGAGGGGAGAGGGAGGGATAGAGAGAGGGAGAGGGAGAGAGGGAGAGGGAGAGAGAGAGGAGAGGGTGAAGGAGAGGGAGAGGGATAGAGAGAGAATTTCTATAAATACATGCATTCGCACGTGTTATGATTAGATATGAAATGCTGCTCATTGTGGTCTCGACGTACCTGCGCGCCTATTAATTAGCACGAGTTTCCAATTCACTGATATTTAAAAATATTTGTTCACAATCATAATTTGTTGAGAAAGAAACTTTTTATTACTCTAACGACTACTTTTCATCGTGAAGCCGAAGCCTAAGCAAAAATAAAGAGATGTACGTGCTCATCTCATAATAATAATTATTAATTAGGATATAAATATGGTGCTCTATGGCATCTATCCCATTCGAACCATTCATATCAGATGAACTACGAGCACAAAGATATGATGTAATATAAATATATATGTGTGTGATATACATGTGGCATTACATATATTAATCATAAAATATGACAAAACCAGCTTTCAAAATAACAATAACGTAAATACGATGCGATCATTATAACAATTCAGTCTGCGATCTCCGCCATGTCAACATTCACCCCCAACAAACACAAATAAACCCGAAATCTCCAAACCCAACCGATAGAATACTCCACCCCTACACCTAAACCAAAAAAACAATAACCCCCAAAACAACCACCGATGCCACAATTCCCGAAGATGGGTCCCTAAAAAAAAAAAAAAAAAAAAACATTCGTAGGCTCGTACCCCGCGCCGTGTTCCCGCCGTTGCCTTGCGAGACACGACATCCAGCCCCGAAGGAGATTTTTCTAAGGCGATTTCCTGATGTATTTGTGATCGGCGGAAGGGGAACGCGTCAAGGATGAGTGAGGCTGAGAAGAGGAGAGTCGCCCCGAGTCCAGGAAAGAAGAGGAACCAGCAGGGATACCGAGCTAAAGTGGTGAGGAAGGAGGATTTCCCCCGAGGAAGGCGGCGTCTCTGGCCGTTATTTCCCGTCGTCTCTGGCCTTTATTTCCCGTCGTCTCTGGCCTTTATTTCCCGTCGTCTCTGGCCTTTATTTCCCGTCGTCTCTGGCCTTTATTTCCCGTCGTGTCTGGCCTTTATTTCCCATTGTCTCTGGCCTTTAGTTCCCATTGTCTCTGGCCTTTATTTCCCGTCGTCTCTGGCCCTTATTTCCCGTCGTCTCTGGCCGTTATTTCCCGTCGTCTCTGGCCTTTATTTCCCGTCGTCTCTGGCCTTTATTTCCCGTCGTGTCTGGCCTTTATTTCCCGTCGTCTCTGGCCTTTATTTCCCGTCGTCTCTGGCCTTTATTTCCTGTCGTCTCTGGCCTTTATTTCCTGTCGTCTCTGGCCTTTATTTTCCGTCGTCTCTGGTCTTTATTTCCCGTTGTCTCTGGCCTTTATTTCCTGTCGTCTCTGGCCTTTATTTCCTGTCGTCTCTGGCCACTATTTCCCGTTGTCTCTGGCCTTTATTTCCTGTCGTCTCTGGCCTTTATTTTCCGTCGTCTCTGGTCTTTATTTCCCGTTGTCTCTGGCCTTTATTTCCTGTCGTCTCTGGCCTTTATTTCCTGTCGTCTCTGGCCACTATTTCCCGTTGTCTCTGGCCTTTATTTCCTGTCGTCAATGGCCATTATTTCCCGTCGTCTCTGGCCTTTATTTCCTGTCGTCGCTGGCCTTTCCTGTCATCTCTGGCCTTTATTTCCTGTCGTCTCTGGCCTTTATTTCCCGTTGTTGCTGGCCTTTCCTGACGTCTCTGGCCTTTCCCATTGTCGTGTCCCGTCGTGGGCTGCCTGGCGTCGTTCCTTGGCGAAGGGGGCTCTTGTCTGTTCGCTCTTGCTCCTCCCTGTTCATAGTTTGTTCAGTGTTCTTCGTGGTGTTCCTGTTCCTCACTTCGTTATTTGTTCATTGTCCTTCGTATTGGTCTTCTTTCTCGCTGTTCCTTATTTGTTCGTTGTTATCGTATTATTCTTGTTCCTTCCTTTGTTATTTATTCAGTGTTCTTCCAATTCTAGTTTGTCACTTCTTAATTTGTTCATTGTTCTTGGTGTTATTATTGTTTCTCGCTGTTCCTTATTTGTTCATTGTTATCATATTGTTCTTGTTCCTTGCTTCATTATTTATTCAGTGTTCTTCCAATTCTAGTTTATTACTGTTCTTAATTTGTTTATTGTTCTTCGTGTTGTTCTTGTTTCTCACTATTCTTAATTTGTTCAGTGTTCTTTATATGCTTTATTTTTATGGTGTCCTTCATATTATTCCTGTTCCTCACCTTATTTATTCGGTGTTCTTCTTGTCATTCTTGTTCCTCGGTTCTTTAGTTATTCTGTGTCCTTCATATTATTCTTGTTCCTCACATTTCTTTATTTCTTTTGTGTTTTTCGTATCATTCTTGTTCCCTGCTTCGTTATTTGTTCATATTTTTTTTTTATTATTATTATTATTATTGGTACTGGATTTACCTCCACTTTTTGCAAATTATTTCTACGGGTTCTTTGATCTCTTGACATCGAGTAATTGCAATGAAGTAAATACTCAGATGGTCTCTGTATTACCCCCTTAGCGTCAAAGGGATGTTGATGTTCCCTTTGGGCTGGGTGGGAACGTGGAAATTGCTGTGACATATGTGATTGTCACCCGGCGGAAAGGAGCCTAGGGCATTGCTTTGTACTCTGTGGTTCGTTTTGAGATATATCTAATGATCTGTTGGTATTAGAAATATGTTATTCCCTTGGGTAAAATCAAGGGGTTCTTTTTTTAAAGTGAATATAAATACTTTGTAGTCATTTGTCAATTTGTGCCCCACTTTCGTTTAGAATGTTGCGTCCTTTGAAATGGGGGGATTTGACAGTCGAGTCTCGCATCCTATGGCTTGTTTGTGCACCCCCCCTCCCCCTCCCTCTCCCTCAACTCAAATGATGCTAGCCTTTTCAATATTCACAGGGCACAATTTAAGTGTTTAATATTTTGATAGCATAACTTTCCATACGAGGCTTCCATACCAAAGGGGGTGGGCAACACCACTGTACAATTAGCTTGAGAAAAGAAAGCCTACAAGGTGAGTGGGAGTAAAGGAATGGTATAGGGGTGTGGCTCGGGGAAACTTGACAGACATGACAAGACTTCTTAGTGAACGCTACATACATCTGATGCGAAGGGAGAAGGTTCAGGGAAAGGAGCCTTCTAGCTTTTGTTAAGTTATGCTTGACTGCGGTGAATAAAGCTCTACTTTTAAAATGTGCTTAATGCTTCTCTCAGTATGCAAGTTTAATATCAATATCTATTAACTGAAATAGTGTGCTCACTTATTTATCCCCTCCCCTAAAAGAGGTTTATCTATAGTTTTAGATTTCAGTCATTTCTCTTAAAATTCACACTTCAATTGAAGTTGTACCTGATAAGATATTATTTTCAATTTATCTTGAAGTATATATATTTCATGGTTAACCCAGAACTGACAGTGGGCATGGCATATACATACATGCCATGCCCACTGAGAGTTTACTTTATTAATTGCTTTTACACATAGATGTATATTGCTGTTACTAATGTCAATAACATTATAGTAATTATAATGTCTATAGAAATTACACCATCTATATCCATAGCATTAGTAAAATAAACATTTTTCCCATAAATCAAAAGAGAGGTGAAAGGTCACAAGGTCTACTAATTGACTTATTTGTGGCTAAGCACTTGCAGAGCCATTTATGTGCAGAGACAGTAAAAAGTGAGCACATCATTTTCCCGGAGTCATTGAGCTAATATTTCATTTTATTAATTTGTCTTATTTGGATGTTTATCTATATATCCACTCCCCCTATTAAAAGGTTTCTATAGTTTTAAATTTCAGGAAAGCATTATTTTCTCATAAATAATCACCTTAGTTGTAAAGGTACATGGTACGGTAGTCTTTCCAATTTATCAAACATTGTTTACAGTATTTCATTTTAGCTTTTATCAGCCCAAAATGGATATTCTTCTGTTTCATCAAAATTTGAGTTAATATCCAGTGTATTGGAGTCCACTTAACATTTGTACTTTTTTTTAAAGGAGGCCCAAGAAAAACTAGATGGTTGCTTTAAGGAGATGCATGAGGCTTTCTCCAGGACAAAACAGGCCTTTATATCATACAAGTCCAAAAGTTTCTTCTTCCCCGATCCTGAATTTATCAAGAAGTTTACTTACTACCTGAAACAGGTGAGATATGTTGTCTTTCGATACTTTAGTGTAATATTCTATTTTTAACAGCATTTTTGTATTTTGATTTCTTATTAAAGATTCTTTGCTAGTTTTCTATATTCATACTTTAGTGTACTGAAGGAGGAGGCAAGTTCTTACTTGAGATGATAATAAATTTCCTGTTAAATGCATCAAACATACTATGATAAGAATAACTTAGATGAAGTGTAAAGAAACTTATTTTTGTGGTCTTTTGGAATTGGATAAAGGAATATTGTGAGATTTGTATACTGAGAACCCTGCTATATCTTGTCTTTCTTACAAATTAGTTTTTTTTTTATCTCTTCCGCTTTTTATCTGCTTCTCTCCTCCAGAATCTCTTCAAACCTTCACTTCCAGGTATTGGCTTAGATCTCTCATAAGGTAGAGGTTCCAGTCTGTAATTTACTGCAAGGCAAGAATAATTTCCAATTTCTGCTAAAACAGTTTAACCATATCCAATTTCTGATGTGAGAAAGTTTGAAAAGACATCAAAAATAACCTGAGGTTTTCTTTAAGTATCTTTTTACCATCTATGTGAATGAGTAATTATATGTCTATAGAAATACACCATCTATATCCATAGCATTAGTAAAATAAACATTTTTCCCATAAATCAAAAGAGAGGTGAAAGGTCACAAGGTCTACTAATTGACTTATTTGTGGCTAAGCACTTGCAGAGCCATTTATGTGCAGAGACATTTCATAAAAAAAAGTAAAAAGTGAGCACATCATTTTCCCGGAGTCATTGAGCTAATATTTCATTTTATTAATTTGTCTTATTTGGATGTTTATCTATATATCCACTCCCCCTATTAAAAGGTTTCTATAGTTTTAAATTTCAGGAAAGCATTATTTTCTCATAAATAATCACCTTAGTTGTAAAGGTACATGGTACGGTAGTCTTTCCAATTTATCAAACATTGTTTACAGTATTTCATTTTAGCTTTTATCAGCCCAAAATGGATATTCTTCTGTTTCATCAAAATTTGAGTTAATATCCAGTGTATTGGAGTCCACTTAACATTTGTACTTTTTTTTAAAGGAGGCCCAAGAAAAACTAGATGGTTGCTTTAAGGAGATGCATGAGGCTTTCTCCAGGACAAAACAGGCCTTTATATCATACAAGTCCAAAAGTTTCTTCTTCCCCGATCCTGAATTTATCAAGAAGTTTACTTACTACCTGAAACAGGTGAGATATGTTGTCTTTCGATACTTTAGTGTAATATTCTATTTTTAACAGCATTTTTGTATTTTGATTTCTTATTAAAGATTCTTTGCTAGTTTTCTATATTCATACTTTAGTGTACTGAAGGAGGAGGCAAGTTCTTACTTGAGATGATAATAAATTTCCTGTTAAATGCATCAAACATACTATGATAAGAATAACTTAGATGAAGTGTAAAGAAACTTATTTTTGTGGTCTTTTGGAATTGGATAAAGGAATATTGTGAGATTTGTATACTGAGAACCCTGCTATATCTTGTCTTTCTTACAAATTAGTTTTTTTTTATCTCTTCCGCTTTTTATCTGCTTCTCTCCTCCAGAATCTCTTCAAACCTTCACTTCCAGGTATTGGCTTAGATCTCTCATAAGGTAGAGGTTCCAGTCTGTAATTTACTGCAAGGCAAGAATAATTTCCAATTTCTGCTAAAACAGTTTAACCATATCCAATTTCTGATGTGAGAAAGTTTGAAAAGACATCAAAAATAACCTGAGGTTTTCTTTAAGTATCTTTTTACCATCTATGTGAATGAGGAGGAAAACCAAATGATTGT